CGAGGAATGGTGGAGATTCGAAGAGTGATTCATATCTTGAGGAAGTTCAATCTTCTTCGATGATTTTTAGGTGCAGGGAGACGAATCACGCGTCGCCGAGTGTGTCAAAGATCAGGAAGAGTAGTGTTGGTAGCAAGAAGAAGAGTAAGAACAAAAACTCGTCTCGTTTGGATTTTTTGTCAAAGTATCAATCTAGAGATGAGACTGTGCCTAGGAAATCTGTAAACTGTAATGCTGCATTAGGTTTAGCTGTAAGGAGAGGTGATTCTGCTGAATTATCGGACGATACAGAGGAATTTAGTAACTCGGAGGATCTGAGGAAGGTCAATGGTGCGTCTCCTTTGCTTTTGAAGCTAAAGCACAAGAACTGGTCACGTTCTTCTTCGAAATTGTTGAGAACTGGTAGGAAAGAGGATTCTTCTTGTACTTATAATAGTACACCGGCTTTGTCGACTAGCTCATACAACATGTATGCTGTTCGTAATCCAAGCACGGTTGGATCTTGGGATGGTACCACGACTTCGGTGAATGACGGTGATGATGAGTTGGATGATAACTTGGATTTACCAGGGAGGCAAGGTTGTGGTATTCCGTGTTACTGGACGAAGAAGACTATGAAACATAGAGGTGGTTGCAGAAGTTGTTGCTCTCCGTCGTTTTCGGATACTTTGAGGAGAACCGGGAGTAGCATTTTATGTGGGAGTCAATCGGTGTATCGTAGGCACAATCGGCATTCTTCTGGAGGGTTTAGTAAACAGAAAATCGCTTTAAGAAGTGCACAAGGTGTTTTACCTTTGCTCACATACGGTGGTGATGGTAGAGGAGGGTCTTCTATAGGAACCGGGCTTAGTGATGACGAGCTTTCTACCAATTGCGGAGAGCTTGATTTAGAGGCTCAGAGTAGATTAGACGGGAGGAGATGGTCTACTAGTTATAGGGGTCAAGATGGTTTTGAAGCTGTAACGTTAGATGGAGAAGGAGAAGAAGGAAGTACACCAGAAAGCGTCCGAAGCTTCAGCCAAAAGTACAGACCAATGTTTTTTGATGAACTGATTGGGCAGACTATAGTGGTTCAATCGCTAATGAACGCTGTAAAAAGGTGTAGGATCGCTCCTGTTTATCTTTTCCAGGGTCCGAGGGGAACTGGGAAAACATCAACCGCAAGAATTTTTTCAGCCGCCTTGAATTGTGTTGTGGCTACTGAAGAAATGAAGCCTTGTGGGTACTGTAAAGAGTGTAGTGATTTCATGTCTGGGAAAAGTAGAGATTTTTGGGAATTTGATGGAGCTAATAAGAAGGGAGCTGATAAGGTTAGGTATCTATTAAGAAACCTACCGACAATACTTCCACGGAATTCCTCAACATACAAGGTCTTTGTGATAGATGAGTGTCATTTGTTGCCATCGAAGACGTGGCTGTCTTTTCTTAAGTTTCTTGAGAACCCTCTGCAGAAAATTGTCTTCATATTTATAACAACAGACCTTGACAATGTTCCTCGGACCATTCAGTCAAGGTGCCAGAAGTTCCTCTTCGACAAACTCAAAGATGCTGACATAGTAGTGAGACTAAAGAAAATTGCTTCAGATGAAAATCTTGATGTAGAATTGCACGCGTTGGACCTGATTGCTATGAACGCTGATGGTTCGCTTCGAGATGCTGAAACTATGTTGGAGCAGCTGAGTTTGCTTGGAAAACGCATTACCACTGCTCTAGTAAACGAGCTAGTAAGTTTTTCTAGTTCTTCTATGTATTTGTCTGTGCATTTTGTAGAGTAAATTCCATCAATGTTAACAATGCGGCGCTCGTGTTTGTGTAGGTGGGTGTTGTTTCAGATGAAAAATTATTGGAACTCTTGGAATTAGCATTGTCATCTGACACAGCAGAGACCGTAAAGCGAGCTAGAGAGTTGTTGGACCTTGGAGCTGATCCAATAGTCTTGATGTCTCAACTGGCTAGTCTTATCATGGATATCATTGCTGGTACATATAAGGTCGTTGATGAAAAATACAGCAACGCCTTCCTTGATGGACGAAACTGTGAGTTCCCAGCAAAGTAAACAAAATCCATAGTGGTCATATGTGCAAAAACATTAGCTTATCGTGTGTTATGAATTCTTATGATCTATTAGCTTGTTGAGATAGTCTTAAGCCATCTTTTCTTGCAAGTGCAATTTTAGCTTTGTATGAATCTTAAACCACTTTGTTTGATTTATATTGGCAAAATTCTTGCTTCGTTTTTGTAGTGACTGACGCGGATATGGAGGGACTAAAGCATGCTTTGAAACTTCTTTCCGAGGCTGAGAAGCAGCTTAGAGTTTCTAATGACCGTTCAACATGGTTCACTGCGACTTTGCTTCAGCTTGGATCAATGCCTTCTCCTGGCACCACACATACAGGAAGTAGCAGTAGAAGGCAAAGCTCTACGTCAAGCATTTCAAGGGAAGTGACGGCTTACAAACAGAGAATAGGAGGACTTCACTTTAGTAAGTCAGCATCTCCAGCGTCGATGCAAAAAAAGAGCAGAAATCATTCCCATGAAACGAAATCGTTCTCCAGGGTTATCGATAATAACTGCTATAAATCCTCTTCATCTAGCCAAGATCCAGAGAGCGAAGCTTCCATTGCCTCGCATGACAATAGCACCGCAAGCACCATGATGCTTACTCAAAGAAGTTCAGAGAAACTAAACGATATATGGAGAAAATGTATAGAAAGATGTCATTCCAAAACATTGAGGCAGCTTCTCTATACTCATGGGAAACTTATATCTATCAGTGAAGTTGAAGGTAAAAAGCCTAAACTTTTCTCACTTTATTTTCTGTCTCCTTTGAAAAGTTTTGCATTCTTAATAAAGATGAATATGATTTGCAGGTATTCTAGTTTCTTATATCGCGTTTGGAGAAACCGATATCAAATCGAGAGCTGAAAGGTTTCTAAGCAGTATCACAAATTCGATGGAAATGGTACTAAGGCGAAGCGTAGAGGTCAGAATAATCCTCTTGCCTGAAACTGAGTTACTCGTCTCCCCTCAGCAAACCCGGAAACAAGAAATGACCAACAAAGGTGGAGATCTAAATGCCATAACTGGTTTAAACGCTGAATCAGACCTCGGAGTTGGTAGCAGCATAGAAGGCAGACAAAAAGTCCCAATGCAAAGGATAGAATCGATAATCCGAGAACAAAGATTAGAAACTGCATGGTTACAAACCGCTGATAAAGACACATCTGGATCGCTAGTACGAATAAAACCCGAAAGGAATCAGATACTACCTCAAGAGGACACGTATCGCCATCCTAATAATATAGGTTCTGCTATTTCTTCTTCTGGATTAACCTCTCACCATTGGGTAGATGAACTAAACAATGAAGTAAAGCTTTTGAAAATCGGCGAAAATGGCGAGCTTCAGGAGAATTTAACCGGTAAAAGAGGAGAGCATTGTCCTCTTTCACCAAGCTTACTTCATGATACTAACTTCGGAAACAACAAAGACAATCTGTAAGTTCCTCTGGTCCTACTATTTCGATTTAAACCAAAAGAAAAACCAAATAAGATCTTTATAAATGTATTGTCATAACGATTTAACGAACATTTTGGTTTCGGTTGTGTAGAGGAGGATATGAGTCTGGATCAGGAAGAGTTGGTTGTAACATGTTATTTTGTTGGACCACACGCAAGAAGACTCAAAGAAGCAAGGTTTGTGCTAATTAATCGAAAGTGCTCCTTCTTATTCAATGTTTTGATTCGTTATTTTTCCTCATGAAAGCAACTTTTTCTTGCGGATTTGATTAGTCGAAACAGGTTAAAGGAACTCCTGTTCGTTCTCGAAGAAATCGGAAGAGACAATTCTCTCTGTTTAATGCATGTACTAAGCCAAGGAAAGCAGAAGGTAACTTTAGAAGATGAAACTAAGTTTCTTAAGATATGAAAACAAAATTTGTTCCTTCATCAAGCTCTAATTTCTCATTTGTTTCTTCCACTTCCACATAGTTTTCCTTTAATTTTGATATGTCAAAGGATCATTTTAATTTATTCAGTGTAAAGTTCATGTCCTATGACTATGAGTTTTTAAAGATTCCATTTTTGTTTTCTTCTTATAAAACTTCAATAATGTTACCATGAAATAAAAAGAGCCAAAGAGTAGTTTAATCTTGAACAATATAGCTTTTTTCTTTTCAGGCTTTTGTGTTGCATTTTTTAAAATATTTCGATGAATATCTGCCAATTTTTTTGTTTTTTGTTAATGTAATTTTAGTTTCCTATCAACAGGATTTATTACATAGTTTAAAACTATTGAAACAAAATCATTGTTTAAACTATTAAACCCCTTTTACAACGAAAACATCCTGAAGTTGAGTTCTAGAGGAATGAGCTAAACATAGAGCTCAGCAAACCAACAATTTGTTCTATATGTTCCATAGTAACATTCATTGGGTTCAGAAAAAGTAAACACAGAAAAAGATTTTGTGCCGTTTGGATTTTCAATTTTAATTTTCTTAGATTCGATATTCTAAGAAAATTAATGAAGAAAATAAATGAGATTAAATGCTATTTATGTCATTTATTATGTGAAGAGGCATGTGTAGATGGTTCTCTCTCTTTTTTGTTTTTACTGACAGATGTAGATTATTCTTCC